TCCTGAACACTCACCTGCCGGCTCAGCGAGGGATCCTGTGTCTGTAGCATCCTTCCTTTCTAAATACTGATTCTTAAAAATACTTTCTTGGGAAGTGTGACTTCATCACATTATGTAAGGAGCCTCGGCTGTGAATGCAAGTGCTGAGTGGGGTGAGCATGAGGGCTGTGGAAAAGCAAGGCTGGGCGATGAATGGCTGGATCTGCACCAACTACGTCAGCTTTCATTCAGGGTGAGTCTCGGGATAGTAGTTTCCATCTGTTTCTTCACATTCTTATTTTTTTATCCTAATCTTGCACCTTATTTCTAATGTTGAGAAATCGTGCCTTTTAGGATACAGATTTATCTCCTCTCCCACCAATCAGAATCTAAAATACTAAATCGTTTGAACATCTCTGTATTTTTGTTTTTTCCCTTATTTTAGATTAGAACGTGACTTATAATAGCACTGCTTGTGTTTCTTCATTTTACCTAACATGCTCTGTTTTTCCTGGATATCTTGTACAGTTTGGGAACACTTGGTTTTCTTACTATCTACAGCCCTTAAATACATCTCAAAACTGGAGAAGTTGAGAAAGAATGAACAGACAATTAAACTGCAATCCAATAGCCAGCTTAGCTTATTAATAGTGTTCTGCTTCGGGAACTTCCAAAGCAGTGTCAGGAAGGGGAGCCAGGAGCTGGAAGCAGATGTGAAGGTGTTTCGTGATGGATATTGGTCGCTGCCTTCAAAGGAAGCGGGCGCACACGTGTCGTAGGAAGAGGGGTCAGATCGCCTGGCTGTCGGGAGCACAGCACCTGACTTGCCTGGTAGCGGTTTTTCACAGTAGACCATCAACTTACTTTTGCGTTTACCAATAAGGTTCTCTTGATTTAATCGCTTAAGATGATGACAGTTGAATTAATAAACTTCACTACCATTCCCAGTTTTCCTTATCCTTTTTCTGAATGAAAAGAACTCCCGATTCCGATTATTGCTCAAAGACTTTCTTTCCTTCTGTTACTGGGGCTGCCGCGGTCCGGGGCACCACTGTTTCTTGCGCGGGCCTCGGAGGGAGCCCGCTGATGCTCTCCCTCGTAGCGTCACAGTCCACATGTTCTGCACGTGTCGTCAGAATGATTATACAGCAAAATGCCGACTTGAGGACGACTCCCTTGCCTTCCCCATTGAACACCCTGACGGCTCTTGTGACTTTCAAACTAGCGACCATCCCTTTGCCGAGCGTGGGCCCACTTCCTGCTCTGACTTCACTCCACTCTGCCAGTCCTGTCTCCCATCTGCTGCCACACCCTCTGTCAGGTCCTCACACCCACCGTGTCCCCTCTCGTCCTTCCCCACACGTTCCTGTTTGTCCTTAACCTCTTCCCTCATTTTGCTGTAATACCGTATACCCTTTAGGACCCAGTCATGACCACGTCTGAGTTGCAGTCTCTTGATCCCCTTGACCTATCACTCTGCTCCTCCTTCCTAGAACCTCAACCGAGTGGAACTGCATAGGGCGTTTGGTGACAGTTTAATTCATATCCATACACTAGGCAGTAAACGGAGGAGCATAGATTTACGTGAATGAAGCCTTGAGGGTGATTGGGAGGGGTTAGAAAGAAGCTAAGGCAGAATCGCAAGTGTCTTAGCCATGACCAGATGTGTGGTGAGGGCCATCCTGATGGGCAGAGCACGGAAATGGGGGAAAGGTATCGGACCGGAGAGCAGAGGCTGTCTTTGCTGTAAGCTGGCAAACAGCTTGGATGAGTTGGGTCTGTGTCATCTGGCAGAGTGTCCTGAGTGGTGAGGGCCTCCCGACCCTCTGTCTTCGATGCTTTCACTCTAATGAATGAAGAAGTGGGTGAGGCTGGCTCAGTGCCATGGTGGAAAATGGGGATGACAAGGTCCAATGCAGCGCGAGAAAGTCAGAAAATGAAAGTAATGTGAAGCAAAGATTTACTTAAGATATTGTGGATGCCAGGGAAAAGCTATCGTACAGCAAGGTAGGGGCCTCACCTAAGGTAAATGGATACATTTAACAACATATAGAAAGGTGTGAGAGGAGAGAAATGATTTCAAGTGGAATTTATAATTAAAATCAAGCAGAAAGATTTGGAAAATTCACAGCCTGGCCATATAAAGAGTGAAAAGGTATCTTCAGGAGAGCAAACCAAGGGTGTGAATCCTAGTGCCCCTTAGACAAAGGATCAGCTCAGACAGAAGGAAGCCAGGTGGGACTTATCCAGGGTGGGGGTGGGGAGTGGAGGTGGGCACTTTGGAGATCTATGTGACTGTCCTTCTGGTCCCTCCAGAAGGGTTTCAGGGGATGGACCTGAGGAGCTCTTCATGAACTTGCTGCCCAAGATCACCTTGGGACTCTGCTCCACACTTCCTGGGGCAGTGCCCCTTGGCTTCCCCAGCTGTGGCCCCAGTGAGCAAGGCTGCAGGCTAGCCACTGCTCCAACCACTGCTGTGGAGGTGCGGGCTCTATCGCAGTGCTCAGGTGGGCAGCGTGTGCACCTGAAGGCCATGATAGCCTCTGCACAGGTTCCAGAGGATGCAGTAAGTGCCCAAGCAGAAACTTGTCATGGGGTCAAGCCGCCAATAGAATCTCCTCTAGGACAATAGGTGATAGAGCTGGAGGTGGGGGCGCCTGTGAGACCCCAGATCCGTAGGGCTACCAGCACTGCGCGCCCGCTTGGAGAGCTGCAGGGACTCCAGCCCTTGAGAACTGCTCTGAGAGTTGAGCCTAGCAGAGCCACATGGTGTCTGAGGCCAAAACCCCACTCCAGTGTGGACAGAAGGTGGGGTAGAAAATCAAAGGACACTGCTGGCCAGCTTTAATATTTTCTGTTGTTTTCCATGATGGATTTTGAATTTACCTAGGACCAGTTACCCCTTTGTACTTACTGATTTCTCTCCTTTTGAAGTGGGTATGCTTATTCTTTGCTTCTTGCTCTTTGTTTTTTTTTTTTTTTTTTTTTTTTT